CTTTTTAGTCCCCATTAGCCCCCTGCTTCCCACTCCCCTTGCTGCCCCTACTCCCAGCTGCTCTCCCAGTTCTCAGGCCCCACAAGAACTCTCTATGAACCCAATAATCCATGTGAGCCCCCCAGATTCCTGGACCCCTTGCTCCCCCTCCGATTCCTGCTCCTTTGCTCCAACTGATGCCCCCCCCCCAATCCATGGATCCTCTCAACTCAATTCACTGATCCCTTCTCCCCCAACCCCTGCTGCCCCAAACCCTTCTCCCCCAATCTCCTGCTCCGCCAACCCCCTGCTCCCAGCCCCCTTTGATCCCCTCGATTTCAACTTTCCCCTCCCCCACCCCGCATCTCCACCGATATCTGCACCCCCTGTTCCCCTTGGTTGCCTAGATCTCCCTACTCCCACTGGTCCCTGCTCTTCTGAACTAAACTATGAACTTTTTTTTATTTTACTAGGTAAGGCCCACTGAGCTCTACAGCTCTTTTTCAGAAGCAACCTGGCCACAATTGAAAGCTCAACGAAGTGGCTTATCACGTGGCAACTTATAGCAGCCAAATACTCTGATGTGTCTAAACGTGGAGGGAAACACCGGAGGGCCCCGGAGAAAAATCCACACGACCACGGGGAGAAAGGCACGCAAACTCCAAATACACAGCAGGAGTCAGGGTCGGGATCGAACCCACGACCTCCTGCATGCCAGGCGAGGTAGTTAACATCTCCTAGCCACGGTGATTATGATGAGAGAGACACGCAAACTCCAAATATACAGCAGGAGTCAGGGTCGGGATCGAACCCACGACCTCCTGCATGCCAGGCGAGGTAGTTAACATCTCCTAGCCACGGTTATTATGATGAGAGAGACACGCAAACTCCAAATATACAGCAGGAGTCAGGGTCGGAATCGAACCCGACAGCCTCCTGTATACCAGGCGAGAGAGTTAATGTCTCCTAGCCACCGTGGCGCTGACGAGATGTCTCCAAATCCCCACTCCCTGCCCCCCTCCGATTTGATCTCCGTGATTTGCTCCACTGCTCCTGGTCTTCATGATCCCATCTACCCCTAAAGCTTGATTCCATTATTCCCTGAATGTACCTGCTCCCCCTCGGGCTCCAGGGTCCCCTGATACCCCGTTAATCCCTGTCGTGGGGGCGCACACGGGGGTCGGAGTTTTGCCCCAAAGTTTCCCTAGTGAAAGAGGATACCGCTTATTCCGTGTATCCCCTTGGCGAGGGGGCAGGGACAAGGGGGGGGGGGCCCTTAGCAGGGTTAAGCTTCGCGGGGTTGAACCCCCTTTCCCGGGGACCCGAGTGTTGATGGAGACGGATAGTTTAACCAAGGCGGAGATTGCGCAATTGTGCCCCCCTGCCCCTCCCCACCTCTCTTTCACTCTCCCCCTCACTCTTTCACTCTCCCCCAGTCACTCTCTCTCTCACACCCCACCTCGCGTGGCCCCCACATGTCTCACTCTCCCCTCCACTCCCTTAGTCTCCCCCCCCCACCTCTCTCTCTACATACACAAACTCTCCACACTTGCTGCCTCTCCCTGTTTCTGCCTCTCTGGCACCATCTTCATGCCGCTCTCCACTCACCCCACCCCCCCTGCTACGACAAGGACACTCCCGCCTGCCTCTCCATGGCGCACCCGGCTTGGCCTCTCTACGCCTAAGCCCTGCCTCCGCGCTCTCTCTCTCTCTCTCCACGTCCCCCTCACACCTCCCTGACATCGCCCGCCCCTCTTCCTGCCTCTCCCTGCTGCTTCTGTCGACATCTCTCCGCCACACGTGACCCGCACCTCCGATTAGCACGTGTACGGTGCGAAAAAAGTTCAGCATACCCTGTTATGTTGAACTCGGGGCCACTGAGCTAAACAGCTCTTTTTTTTCAGAAGCGACCTGGCCACAAATGATAGCCCAGCCAAGTGGGTCATCACGTGGACATTTATTGCAGCCAAATACTCCAAACGCTTGTTTCTAAATGTGGACGGAAAACCCGGAGGACATGGAGAAAAATACACGCAACCACGGGGAGACACGCAAACTCCAAATATGCAGCGGGCGTAAGGGCCGCGATGGAACCCACGATCTCCTGTATACCAGGCGAGGTAGTTAACATCTCGCCACCGTGGCACCCACATACGTGACCTACCGGTCTCTCATCTTCCTGCGTCCCGTCTGTATCCACCCTGCTCCCATCCCTCGTCCTCCCCCCACCCTGCTTAAAAAAATCACAGTTCCGAATGTCCACAAACCGGTAACCGTTTCCAGTGGAACGTAATGAATGCGCGGATTAGCACGCGCAAATGTACGAACGGCATGGCGGCAAGCCTAAGTTAACGCGGTGGTCCATTCGCCCTCAATTCTCAGTCAAAAGACAGCCCAGATATTGCTCGCTAAAAGGCCAATGCAGGCGTAAAGGGCCTCGTCCACTAGAGGGAGCGCGCTCTTAAAGTGGTCTCTTTCCACGCTGACCGGAACGTCTTTGGAATTGGTGGGAGTACCCACACTTTACCCCACCGCGCGTGATCTACCGATCATAGACTGTGGTGCAGCTACATACACTGCTGCCGAGTGGGCAGATGCGGTGGAGGGAGATTGAATAAACTTGGCCCATTGTTATTCTTGGGTATTTCGGTAAAGTCACGTAGATAGAAGGGATATAATAAAATAATAAAAATAAAACAATAAAATTCTCACGACGTTTCGGCCACAACACAAGCAGCTTGTGTTGCCGCTTGTGTTGTGGCCGAAATGTCGTGATAATGTTATTTTTATTATTTTATTATTTCTCTTTTACGTTACTTTACCGAAAGATCCAAGAATATGAATTCCTGCAGTCACGAAAGCTTTAAATTGAAAATAAAAAAAATCACGTAGATTAAAATAAATGTTTTGTTATTTTATTTTAACCTATCTACGTGACTTTACTGAAAGACCCAAGAATATGAATCCCTGCAGTCATGAAAGCTTTAAGTCAAGATTTGGCCCCTTGTCCTCAACTGCCTTGCCGGGATATGGAATCGAACTGCCGCAAAACTGGATTGCAAGTCCAGCGTTCTGCAGACCATTTGTTGCACCACGGTGGCAGCTCCCTCCAGTTCGCGTGTGAAGGGCTTATTGCGCTCGAGATAGCAAGGGCATAAGTGCACGCGTAAAGTGTGTGCAAGTGACTCAATTATTGACTGGCAAATAAAACACTCACCTGCTCTGGTGGTTGCCCGTAAACCACTGGTGGCTGTGTGCAATTCTATTGGTGAAGGCCGATAACCAATCGGCTGTTTACGCTCATGGCACTCGCAGCTTCCACGGTGGCCAACGGGGGCTCTGGACGGGTGCGCGGTGCTCGTGACCCCTCCACCTTGAACCAAATCACTAAAAACACAAAGACCAAATGCAGCTTGTGCCGGAGGCCCCGGGGGAAATGAGTGCCTATAACATCCTTCCTGGGTATTGTCATTAAAAACTCCTGCACCTCAATTCTCCACGAGTGGAGAGAACGGAGGAGTTCCCATATCTGGGATTATGACTAGCTCCGGTTTGGCTGCAGAGGTTTCACTACAAATCAGTTAAGTAGCAATTTATTTTCATCAGCTTCATCAAGCTGTGCAGAAGGTACCTGGCCTGTCGCTCAATACGAAGCTTTGTCTCTTAAACGGCCAGTTATGCCCCCGTGACTTGCCAGTGAGCATACATTTCACGTGGCTTCGAAGTGCACCTAGACTGGCACAAGTGGTAGTAACGTCGTTCTTTAACTGAGCGGATGAATGAGTTGAGGCAACTCCCAATTGTTCCGCGTGTCCCAGCAGATGTCGGCACGGTGCAAGTGGTGTCGGGCGGCCCGGGGATGTGGAGTCCCTTCGAGCAGCCAGACCCCAAGCAACACGAACCCCCGACTCTCGGGGTTTCTACCACCGGCACCATGAGCAGCAACAGCAGCAGCAACAGCAGCATCGTCATTGTGGAGCTGCAGCAGCCGCCGCTGCAGCAGCAAGAGGTCCTGGACATCCCAGTCGTGCCGGCTGCTCACATTGACCCCGGTAAGAACCCCCCTGCGTAGACCATAACAGGGGTCATCGCAAGGATTTCGTTTGGCGAAAAGGAGAGCGACTGTTAGGGATTTAGCCGTCCCAATTGCTTCGAGTGTTTGTGAAATGCAGATACATCCACCTCACCCCCTTCACGTGCATATCTGGCACCACGGTGGCGAGATAACTACCTCGTCTGGTATGCAGGTCGTGGGTTTCATCCTGACCCCAACGCCTGTATATTTGTAGTGTTCTCATGGTTGCGTGGATTTTTCTCTGGGTCCTCCGGTGTTTCCCTCATTCAGAATCTTCTGTCAAACGGTTTCTTAACGTCCACTGAAGGACAAGGTTTCTTATGGGGGGGGGGGGGGGGAAGGCTTATTCACCCATAGTATTATTCAGGGCGGCCGCTGGGCTCGAAGCACTGTAACAAGCCACAAGTGACACTGCTGGGTCATGTCACCATAATGAGTGGTTGACCCTTGCGAGGGGGTCAGGGGCCATTGTGAGGGGTCACAGTGCATCCCCCTTCCATTAAGCCAGCTTTTTGTACCCCTGCAGACCCGGAGGAGTTCGTGGACCCGGAGACTGGGGAGGTGGCTCAGTGAGGGCCCCCTGGGGGGGCCGACAGCACCAAGGCTGGAAAGCAGGTGCCACTGGGACTCCAATCACCGGGGCGGCACAAGCAGGGCTCCTTGGGCATCTCCTGCGCGGGTAGCGAGTGTTTATTTTGTACTGGGCTGGTTTACTGTATGCGAGGCGTTGTGCTGTGGGGGGTGATGGGATGGACCTGTGGGCAGGGGTCTGGGCTGGGTTTTTCTAGTGAAATAAATTGTTTACACAGCCTCGTGCTGCTGCTGGTCCGTGCGGGAGGGATGAGCAGTGAGAGTGGCCACGCACGCCCTGCACTCGCCCCACTCAAGCACATAGCATTCACCACACACGGTCCAGGCGGAGTTCATGTCACACAGCTTCTGCTCATAACGACATCACCTTTGCGTTTATTGAGTCAGGCGTTTGGGCCATGGGGACAGCGTGCAGCCAGAGGAGGGGGCAGGCAACGAGGAGCAGGTAACAAGACACTGTGGGGGTGGTGGTTGTGGTAGGGGGTGGTGGTTGTTAGTGGTGTTGGTGGGTAGTGGTTGTTGTGGCTTGGGTGGCTGTAATTGTTGAGGATCTGCAGTGATGTGGCTCAGTCAATGGTGGTTGCAAGGGGGTGGGTGGTTGAGGGTCCACCGTGGCGTGGCTCAAGTCGGTGTTGGTGGCTTTGAGGGGATGGTGGAGGACCCGCCGTGGCTCAGTCGGTGGCAGGCCCCCCTGCCCCTGTGCCCTCGTCACCCTTGGACTTCTTGCTGCCGGAGACGATTCCGTCGATACGCAGCAGCAGGATCGCCGTCTGGGGGGTTCCACCACACCGAATCTCAGCACCTGCACCACCAGTGCCCTTTCCTCCCCATCGTCGCCCCTGCCCTCCCCCATTGCGACCACGACCTCCCGCTGGAGCCATTGCCACCCCTCGGGGGGGGGGGAGGGGAGCGCAGAATGGCGGTACGATGGCGGTGTGACCTCACCTCCAGCGCCGTCTTGTACGTCTGGGCCTTGACGGCGAAGGGGTCGAGGACGCCGAGCTCGCGCATGTCGGCGACGGCGCCCGTCTCCCCGTTCACGCCCCAGCTTTCGCAGCCCTCCTGGGTGTGCTTCGCCTGGTTACAGCGTGACGGCACAACGCGGACGAGAGCTCATCACCACCACGGCGAGACGGCGCCGAACGGCGGCCACGTTCTCTTCGGCGCATGTTGCACAGGGTCCCGCTGTTCAAATCCGGCGGTCTGCCCTGGTTAATGGACATCTGTGACATCTGTGTCCATTAACTACTGGACATGTGAAAGAGCTTTATAGTTCATTGGATTCCTCCAGATTCTGACAATACTGCCATGCGCATGAACCGTGTAAAAAAAAATCTGACTACTAAGCGCTGTCTTGCGTCACTCGCTGCGAACGTTAATGATCCCGCGACGAGCAAGGGGGCCACGTGTGTCGGCGTCGTGGTAAAAGTTTGCCAAATTGGAAAAAAAAAATCGCGCCAAGTTACTCAATATGGAAACTCGCAACAGAAACATCGCCACCCCATCTGTGAAACAGAGCAGCAGTTTCCTTCGTGATGATCGCCTTGTGCCAGACGCAGGGACAGCTGCCACTGGGGGTGTGCCCCTCAGCGAGACCACACAGCAACATCGCCCCCTGCTGCAAAATCACTCTGGGCGCATTCCTTCCAACGATCGCCACGCAGCGCCATAACGTCAACATAATTCATAATTGCACTCAATTGTGAATTCTCACAAACGCACGGCTGCAAAACTTCGCAGCACAACCCGGGGTGAGGCGAGGGTGCGGGATCGCGCTGCTGGTGAGCGCGGCTGCTCGCTCACCCGGAGCGAGGTGAGCGTGCGGATCGTGCTGGCGCCGCAGTTCTGCACCAGCGTGCGAGGGATGACCTCGAGGGCGCGCGCCGCGGCGCGGTACGGCCACTGCTCGACGCCGGTCATGGCGCGCGACCGCACCTCCAGCGCCTGCGCCAGCGCCATCTCTGTGGCGCCGCCGCCCGCCACCAGGCGCGGCTCCAGCAGCACGTTACGCGCCACCTGCATGGCGTCCTGCAGATTTCGCTCCACCTCCTGGCACGCGCGACGCAGAGAGGGAGATCGACGCTGCCCCCAACGCTCCACACAGTTACAAAGACCACCCCGTACAGCCTTCAGACTTTTGGGTAAAGTGCTGTTGTGGCGAGCGCCTATGAAGGCCGGCACGGCACACTAGGAGGCGAGTGGCCAGCACCACGCCCGGTCGCCTCTGTCTCTTTGGTGGCGATGTTGACACTTCGCATCAGGTACTCATTTAAGGTCGGGTCGACATAGGGGAGGCCCAGGATATTTTGTCACCCGTGGGTCAGGTCATTGGGTTCGTAGCGCAGTGTGAACCCACTACACTGCCGCTCCAAATACACGTGTACACACAGACAACCCGCGCCGTGTGCGGCGTGTGTGTATGCGGCATGTGTGTGTATGCAGTGTGTGTGTGTATGTAGTGTGTGTGTGTGTCCCGTGTGCGTGCAGTGTGCGCCCGGCGTGTGTGTGTGTGCGGCGTCCTCACGGCCAAGATGTCCTTGCTGGCTCCACGCAGGAGGATGGTGCAGGCCTTGGGGTCCTTGCACTCGGTGATGAACGTGAAGTAGTCGTCGCCGATCTTCTTCACCTCGAAGAGACCCGCGCCTGTACCGACGTCCTCCTCCTTGGCGTCAGACGTGCGGCTCACGATACGAGCACCGCACGCCCTGGCACCGCACACACAACCACGAGTGTGACCCCCTCACCACCACCACCCCCACACCCTGCCACCCCATACACACGCAACACAGCAGCAGCATGCCCAGGCACGCCGTGGCCATGCCGTGACCACGCCATCGTATACCACACGGCACAACCAACCACGCACAAAGCACGACACACAACGACAACGTCTACCCCATGTACAACAGCCCACACACAATTAGATTCCACCCACATACACCACATGTCTGCAAGCAGGAGTGCAGATACCTAGCAATGCAGTTGCTAAATAGTGATGCGGTTGCAAGGGTTAAAGTGACGAGGTTACCTAGCGATGCGATCGTGTGGTTAACGAGTGGCAGAGTTACCTAGTGACACGGTTAAATAGTGATGTAGTTGTGCGGTTATTTAGCGATGTGGTTGCACGGTTAAACAGCGATGCGGTTGTGTGGTTACCTGGCTATGCGGTTATTGTCAGTCTTGCGGATGCGGCGGATCGCGGTGATATTCGCCTTCACCAGGAAATGTTGAGCCAAGTCTGAGACGGGGTACGCAGATCACAGCCCAATTCGCGCTCGCGCGCACACACACACACACATCCTGACACATAACGACCCCCTCTATACCCTTAAGACTGTTGGTGCAAGTGCTGTTCACGAGTACCTATGAAGGCCGGCATGGCACACGAGGGGGTGGGTGGCCGGCACCACGCCCGGCCGCCTTTGTCTCCTCAGTGGCAATGCATACCATACCAGGCGCTCATTTGAGGCCAAGTCGACCTAAGGGAGGCCCAGGACCGGCTCAGATAATCGTGACTGCTGTTGGCCGCGAGTGGGAATCTAACTCGGGTTTCTGGCTTCGTAGCGCTGTTACACTACCGCTGACGCACAAAGCCCCCGATTCATGCACGCAGCCAAGAGCACGCACCGGAGATGCCCTTCTCGGTGAAGAGGAGGTCGGGCTTGAGGCGCACGATGTCGGCGCAGATCTGCTGGATGTAGTCCTCCTCTGCCTGCAGGATCTTTGCAAAGTCCTCCTCACGCGACATCTCGATGTCCGTCTGCGCCACCACCACAACCGCCGCTTTAGGGGACCACCACCACAACCGCCGCTTTAGGGGACCACCACCACAACCGCCGCTTTAGGGGACCACCACCACAACCGCCGCTTTAGGGGACCACCACCACAACCGCCGCTTTAGGGGACCACCACCACAACCGCCGCTTAAGGGAGGGACACCGCACGAGGGCAGGGCCCAGCCACAAGGGGATGGGGGGGGGACTGTGCGAGTGGGGAGCAGCTGAACGAGTGAGCGAGCGGGCGATGGGGTGGGTGAGCTGGTGAGCACCTGGCTCTCGCCCTTCTTGAACTCGAGGGAGCAGTCCAGCAGCAGGATGCGCGGGGTCTCGATGCGGCGCCGCATGCGCGGGTGCGTAACATCCTTGTTGAGCATCACCCCGCGCAGCACGCACGACTCCTCCAGGATCCCGCCCGGCACCTGCGGTTGCAACCACCGCACACCGCGCCGTCAGCACACCGTTGGCACGCTACACCGTCAGTGTGCCGCTGTTGGCGGACCGCAGGACACTGCACACCGCGTCACGCCACCGTCACGCTTGGCACACGCGCCACCGTTTGCCGTGCAAGTTGTGCGCATGGCCGTGCGTGTGCACGCGTGCCGGCACCTTCTCGATCTTGGCGTAGTTCTTGATGTCGATCTCGCGCCGCCCGTTATCCTCGCGCTGCACGGTCAGCACCGCGTCCAGCGCGATTCCGCACGCCAGCTCCGAAACGCGGCTCAGCGCCTTCGTGTCGATGGCGCTCTTCACGATCCGCAGCATCATCACCCGGTCGGTCACGTCTACCGCGACGCTGCGGCGCGACGCAGGGGAGCGAGAGAGGCGGGGTTACCTCCGCCCTGAGCAACTGCAGCGGTCGCATCCATCAGGGGTGGAGAGCTCAGCCCTCTCCTGACTCGCCATTCTCCACAGAAATTCAGAGCAGTCGCGGCGATCGTTTGATGATCCGGCACTCGCTCACCCCAGTCACTTGCTCGCTCACCAGTGGTCAGTCGCCTCCATATCGCCCTTCAAATAGCTATTACCACCATTGCGATTCCCCATGAATGTAACGAGTGGATCCCTCCCCACCACCTTGTTAAGGAATCTGTCAACCAGCCTGTGTTTCATCACCCACACGGTGTTCAACCACCACCACACCAACGGTCACAACCCACTTCTCGATCTGCTTCTTCCCTCGCGCTGCTCCAGTATGCTCCCTCGTTCCATCAACACCATCGTCTTATCATCTCAAACTCGTACAATAATAACCTCGCTCAATTCAAGATGCGCGTTCACTCTCGCAACTGATACGGAGTACTGCTTGTTGCTGGCTGCTTGAGTTTTGGGCCTGTCCTCGGTACACGCCATGGACCGCCAGCTTCCCCCAAGCCCGTGACCCCCGGCGCACCTGATGTCCTTGAGGGTGGACAGCATGTCCTCCAGCGCTTTGCGGTAGGCGCTGATGATGACCGTCGGGTGCATCTGCTGCTCCAGGAACTGCTCCGCCACAGCCAGCATCTCTCCAGCTACCACCGTGGGCAGACACACAAACAAAGATAAAGACAAAGATCCCACGTACAGCCTTAAGGCTGTAGGAGCAAGTGCTGTTTTGTGAGCACCGATGAAGGCCGACAGCACACGAAGAGGGTGGGTGGCCAGGCCGCCTTTGTCTCCGAGTGATGTTGACAAACTACACCAAGAACTCATTTTAGGTTGAGCCGATTAAGGGGAGTCTCAGGACCGGTTGAGCCATTCATCACTGGTGATGGCTGTGTGCAGGAATCGAACTCAGGTCAGAGTTCTTTGGAGTTGGTGTGAATTCATGCACGAGTAGGAGTAATTGACTAAATGAGAGTGTGAATGAGTAACCGAGTGTGATTGAATGGGTGGGAGTTGGTATAAATGATTAGTACGAGTACTCGAGCAAGCGTGAATGAGCGAGTGTGGGTGAGCGTGAGCAAGCCAGTACGAGCGAGCGAGCATAAGTGATTGGGAATATGACCGCGCGATCGTGAATGTGCGAGCCCGAGCGAGGAAGCAAACTGCTACAGCCGCACAGCTCACCCAGGATGATGACGGAGGTTGTGCCGTCGCCCACCTCCTCGTCCTGCGTGCGGCTGATCTCGATCATCGACTTGGCTGCTGGGTGCTGCACCTGGATCTGAGGTGAGAGGACACCACACTCGGCCTCTTAGTGCGGCGGCACCGGCACCGTTAGCACAGCAGCTGTCAGTGCAAATCGTTGGTGAAGCTGTCGGTGCAGCCGTGAGCATAGTGGTCCGTGTACCTGCTGGTGCAGCCATCTCACTCACCTCGCGCAGGATGGCGTTTCCGTCATTCGTCATCACGATGCCGCCCATGGGATCCATCAGCATCTGATGGAAAATCATTCACTCACGTCACTCCCTTCCACATCACAGCACTCTCCCCCACATCACTCCATCTAGTCGTCCACTATCTGGCGTCACTCCCTCTCCCCCGGGGGTCACTCAGTCCGGCGTCAACCCCATCCTCTTGTCTCTCCCTGCCCGTCACAATTCCTCCATTCCCCCAGTCTCCCCCCGCATTGGGGAGCAGCAGCAGCAACAGCGTTATTCTGTTACTAAACATCTGTGAAAAAGAGCTTCATAGCTCATCGGATTCCTCCAGTCTAAATAAAGATTCTGATACTCCCATGCAAGTGTCACTCGCACAGCAAGCGCTTGCCGATTACGGTAATTCACCCCTTCATTCAATGTTTATTTAGAACGTTCACCCAAAACTGCAAAACGTGGTCCCATAGCGAGGATTCAATGAGGGGGTAATCAAGCGTGGTTTAAATGTCATTTATTTCGCTCAACAGCACAGTAGTGTCAATTTCATTCATTCACATGACAGTGACATTTTGTCATTCATTCACCCATTCACACGGTAGAGGCTCAATGTCATTCATTCACACGTGGTGTCAGAATTAATTCACACAAGACAATGGCTGAATTGCAATTTACTCAAGTTGATAGTGGTTGCAGTGCAATTCCTTCAATGACAAGGCATTATTATTTGGCCTCAATAGTAGCAGCCATCCCACTCATTAGCTCACACGTGAGGCCGTGGTTTTCCTGACCCGATGTCACTCATACTGAATAATATATATTTTAAACATATCCATTCAATGACGGGAGTGAATGCGTTTCTAACGGACTCCCCCCCCCGACCAACTCATTCACTCACGCGCGCTGACAATGGCCGCACAAAGGGCGCGGCACCGCAGCCACCACCACCGGCTCGTCCCTTACCTTCATCATGGCCCTGGGACCCAGGCAGGTCCGGATCACGTCCGCGATCATCTGCGGGCAGACGAGAGGCAGCCGTGAAGCCAAGGGACCGGGACTCGACCCAGCCCCTAACGCGACCCCGCTCTACCCGGCCCCACCCGGCGAACCGGGCACAGGCCGCGCTACACAGGCTCGGCTACCCCGCCTCCCATCATCCTCTCCCAAATCGCACGCCCATCAAGATCCCCAGACCCCCGCTCCACCAAGTCCCGCATACCGCGGGAACCCCTATGCTGCGGCAAAACCCCAGAGTCCCCGAGTCTCGCATCCACCAGCCCACCCCGCGGCGACTCTTGGAAGCTTCTGGAACACGTGCCCAGGCCGCAGCGCAACCCCCGTTCTCGCCTAGCGCCCCTACCGGCCGCGTGACGGTGGAAGCGGCGGGTGCCGGTGCGTACGCACCTTGGCCGCGCTGATGTTTCCCTGCTGGACCTTGCGGCCGCTCTCCCTCTTGGTGTTCTGACCTGCACGGAGGAGAGATCGCGCGGCGGTGAGCGAGGCTGAGGTAAGCGAGGCTGAGGCAAGCGAGAGAATCGTGTGGGGGAACTCGGCGGGACTCACTGAGCACAAGCACGGGGGCTCCACCGGACAGCTGCATGGTGCTTTTTGCTCCTCGTCTCTGTTGAGCCGCACTCAGGCGCATGCGCACAGCGCTGCACTTTATATAGAGGCGTCTGTCGAGATTTCGCGCATGCGCACTACGCGCTCCCGACGTCTAAGTGACAGGCCACCGCGCGAGCCTGCGGGCGGGTTACGCGCGCGCGCATGCGCAGTTGCCCGCTGCCGGAGCGGATTTGACGGCCACCGCGCGCGGGAAAAATGAGCGGGGAATCTTTGAGGGGGCAGGTTTAGCGTTCTTATGAGGGACTAATTTACATTGCGTGTTGTTTACAGGGTGGCAGAAACTTTTAATCTAAATCTATTTTGTCCGTAACAGGGATCAGAGTGAGTCGGGGGGAGGGGGTGGGGCTCACAGAGCCAGAGCAAGGCGACTTCTTCTCAAGGCTACCTCAGTCGTCGGGGCTCCCGGGGTTGTGAGGCGCTGAGCCGCCGAGGGGGGCGCTACTGGGCCGGGCCCACCCGAGACGAGGCGGTGGGTGATGAGGGGAAACTCAACCAGCTGACAGAAAATAAAAATAAGATTCTTGATAAGACCTCGTCACTTCGTTAGAAAAAAAATAAGAATATTGATAAGACCTCGTCATTTCGTCAGAAAAAATTATAATCTTGATAAAACTTCGTCACTTCGTCAGAAAAAATAAGAATATTGATAAGACCTCGTCATTTCGTCAGAAAAAATATATAATCTTGATAAAACCTCGTCACTTCGTCAGAAAAAATCAGAATATTGATAAGACCTCGTCATTTCGTCAGAAAAAAATAGGAATCTTAATAAGACCTCGCTACTTCGTCATAAAAAATTATACTCTTGATAAAACCTCGTCACTTCGTCAGAAAAAATAAGAATATTGATAAGACCTCGCCACTTCGTCAGAAGAAAAATAAGAATATTGATAAGACCTCGCCACTTCGTCAGAAGAAAAATAAGAATCTTGATAAGACCTCGCTTCGTCAGAAAAAAATGTAAAATCTTGATAAGACCTCGTCACTTCGTCAGAAAAAAAATCTTGATAATACCTCGTCACTTCGTCACCACCTGCTCACCTCACTGCTCAGTTCTGCCTCACCCAACAACACTTCACCTACTCATCCCTTCCACATCCCCTGCTCACCACCTCACCACTCTGGACATGTGTGGGGAAAAAAAGCTTTACAGCTCATCGGATTCCTCCGGTATAAATACTCCCCACAGTCACACATGCCACCTCACTTTCCCATACACTCCTTCCCTTACCACTTGCCCTCACCACGAAACACCTCACCACCTTAACATAGCCACCCACATCAACTCTTCGTCACTCATCCCAACTCAATCTGGCTCACCTCTTTGCCACCAGTCCGGACCGTGTCCGTGTGGCTGTGCGTGTCGTGGGGAGCGGTGGCGCAGTGGTTAGCGCGCTGCGCTATGAACCTGGCGACCCGGGTTCGATTCCCGCTCACGGCCACCAACACTCGGTGACAGATTATCTGAACCGGTCCTGGGTCTCCCCTAGGTTGACTCAAACTCAAATGAGTACCTCGTGCGGTGTGTAAACACCGCCACTGGGGAGACAAAGGCGGCCGGGTGTGATGCTGGCGAGCCAACACCTCGTGTGTGCCGTCCGGGCCTCGATAGGTGCTCGCTCGCAGCATTTGCCCCAACAATCTGTTAATCTTTGTAGATGAAGGAATTCTCAGCGTCTTGCGTGTGTGTGTGTGTGTAAGAATAGGTCTTACCCTTTCTGTGGCAATAAAACAGGGGTTGTTAAGATGTTCAAACACCAAACGGAGAGCTTTTGCAAGGAATCGTGTCTGCATTAAACCACACACGGTACCTGTGGTGAACATGTTCACCAATTGTTTTTCTTCATGGCAATAAAAAAAAACCACAAGTGTTTTATTGTCCAGAAAGGCTACAACCTTTTTTTCTTATAATCTTGATTTGAAGCTTTTCGTGACTGCAGGAATCCATACTCTTTGGTTCTTTCGGTAAAGTCACGTAGGTAGAAAAATCAAATAAAACCAAAAATAATATATCACGACGTTTCGATCGCAACACAAGCAGTCGTCCTCAGGCAGAAAAAATTAATCCAAAACACCCAAGTCCACGCTCGGTCAAGACCTGACATTTCAGTTCAGCGAGAGAGCTGTAACTGCTGGATTACTTTTTCTCATATTTTGATACTGGCAAGAAAGGTCCCATATTGAGATTCGTGTTTGTGAAACTGCTGCTGCTACTTTAAGGCACTACCGGTTCCTGGTCTGGCCCATGAACTGAAATGTCAGGTCTTGACCGAACGTGGACTTGGGTGTTTTGGATGACATTTAACCCAATAGCAATCCCCCCCCCCCCCCCAAGATGAGGCTCCACGAAGGTAGGATATGCGATCGTGGACATTGATCTAGGGATCCGTGTAAATGGCAAACCCAATGGCCGGGGGCCATATCATCAATCAGCTGGCTGACATTAAAATTGGAGATGCTGCTGCCAAGCGGCGGACGATATATATCGAGAAAGTAATGGGGCCACATGGGACACTGTGAATGCAGGTTACCTCTGAGCACGTCAAGTCCCGCGTGTATGACAACGTAGGTTTGAGAGGTGGGTGCAGAAGCAGGAGAGCGGGGATGAGGAGAGGCTTGTTGTGATGGTGCATAGGGGTGCAGTTTACATAGAATGGTGACGAAGGTGATGGCCTTGGTTTGGAAACCAAACTGTAATATCCCATTGAGAGCATAGAGGGGAGTGTGCGGGAAAATGGGAAGATATTCCGGGAAGTTGGCACCGTTCACAAGAGAAAGTCTTATGAACGGTGCCACCACCATCTTACCACCACTCAACACCTCAGCACTCAGCATCCCATCAAATTCTCAACACGCAACTTTATCCGGGCGGTGGTGGTTTTGCGCGTGGTAGCGTAGTGGTTAGCGCGCTGTTCTACAAACCCGGCGACCCGAATTTGATTCCCGCTCGCGGCCAATGCCAGTGACGATTTTCTAAACCGGTCCCGAGCCTCTCCTATGTCGACTCGGCCTCAAGTGAGGAACCTGGTGCGGTGTGTAAACATCACCATTGGGGAGACGGCGGTCAGCCGTGGTGCCGACCACCCAACTCCTCGTCTGCAGTGCCAACCAACATAGGTGCTCGCTCACATCACTTGCCAAGCCTGTTGAGGCTATAACAGGGAATCGGTCTTTGTTTGGTCTGTAATCCAGCACTGGGAAGGCAGGGTGGACTGGTAGATCACACAAATGTTGTAAAACTACTTTCCCGTCGGCATCGACCAGCCTTATACCCCGACTCACTAGGAGGCAGTGCAGAAAATGTGGACTCCACCTGTTCCATCTGTACGGGAGTGTTGCCCCCCTCACACACGTTGGGTTTCTCTGGGTGCTCCAGTTTCCTCTCACATGTAAAAGCACTTATTCATTGGCCAATAATACTTTATTGAGAGGACCACGGAGTTTGGTGGAAGGGGGGGGGGGAAATAGGCACTAGCTCCCCACTGCCTGGCTATTTATTGCCTCCCGCTCATCTGTGGCTCCTCTTCGCACCTTCGAGTCGTCCTCTCTTGCTCTTCGGGAGAGCGAGCAAATCCTGTGCAGTGCCGCGTGCTACAAGTCGGCATTTTAAATTACGCCACCTCAAATCCGTTGACGTTAGAGCCACCTCCTCATCCACGAACCATAACCAACCACGCGAGGCATCTCTACAAAACAGTGATTTTATTACAAAACCCACAGGGTCGGACCTTTCACATCCAGCGGTCAAAACGCACGTCTGAATATAACACTGTAAGGGCTGCCCGGGCACTGCCAGGCAAGGCCAGCCCAGGCATCATGGCTGTGTTAACAAAAACAAAACAAAATAACCCTGGAAGTGCCATTCCAGCTCCGCAGATCCAACGCAAGATTTGGCTCGGTTGACGACGCGGGACACAAATGCCCACACGTCACCAGATTCTTTTGGCAAAAAAACCCACGATGGCTCCATCAATCCGGCATGATAGCTGCCCATTCCCCAAACCAACCGAGGCTCGGGGAAATCGCTTCAAGCGAGGCACTCGGACCGCTGCTCGGCGGTTCTGGCACCTGGCTACAGCTGGAATATTCCACCCAGGACAGCAGCTGCGGTTACAGCAGGAGAACTTTCCTTGTAAACGTTTTGAACAGTCACGCCGGCGAAGTTTCATTCAGTGGCGCAGGGCGCGTTTTGGCTCGTTTGGTTACAAAAACCCCGGGGAAGTAGTCCCTCTGCCCAAGGGGTGTGACCGGGTTTCATGGCAGAATGTTACCTTCGCCAGGGTTGACCCTCACCGGCGGGGGTGGAGGGACAGCTCGTCCTCCACCACCCTCGCAGCAGCACGAGGTCATGGTTGGCGAGGCTTAATAACGACCCTTGCGCGCATGGCTCAATGGGAACCGGCGGCACAGTCTTGTGCCAGCCGGGGCTCCGAGTTTTGGTGTTGAAGCTGAGAATACAAAATAACTTTAACGTGCACATCCACGCACGTGGCCACCCAGTCCCGTCCCTTATGAGGATCCCTCATCACCAGGCAACCTATGGCACTCGGTAATGGAAGCCAGTGGCCGCCATTAAAATTTAACCATTTGTGCTTGAAGTGCGTATACAAAAATAAGGCCACACGACATTCATCATGATGGCAAATGCCGTTAGTGTTTCCCATGCAGCTGGGTAAGTGCCAGGTAAAGGCTTTGGCAAAAGCAAAAATGAACATTTTTGCTCAAAAAAATGAAAACGCATTTAAAGTGCACGCCGCCACGCTCGGCTGCAGCAGCCGGACGGCGCGCGAGTCCCGGCGCCTGTGTCGCAGGGACAGCCGTACCGCACACGCGCAACGTGGTACAGCCTCTCAAACATCGCTACTGGCAACACTCGTCAAGACCACTATCCCTCCCTCCAGCGCAGTCTCCATAACGATCACCGTCGCCACAACGAACGCTGTCGCCATCTTTCGAGGCGTCACCATTTTCTTCATCACCGCTGTCCTCATCACAATCACCACCTTCGTCACCATCATCATTATCGATCCCACATCTTCATAACTGCGTCATCATGACATAGATCCCCATCTTCAGAGAAAGACAGTCCTCAGCATCATCGTTGTCACTGTCCCAATCATTAATGTTCATCAGCTCCATCGTCAAGAGTCCGGAGTTTGCACCGCCACTTGCGAATGCGTGTGCTGGACGGCTTGGATGCCCCGTGATTCACAGACACGGCTCCCGCTCCCCCTTTCCCTCTCTCGTGCTCGCTGTCCACATCGATGGTGCGCGGAGAGGCCTCACGTGCTCACCTGCACCGGCAGCCTCTCCAGAGGATGGGGGTCAACCTGCAGGGAAGATGGAGCAACAGGAGACCAGCGTTAGCCACGATGGTTATTGTGGAGGTGATGGCAGTGGTGGTTGTACAAGGTGTTTGTTGTTGTTGTTGTTGTGCTGGATGTGAGTGGCGTTTTGTTTAGTCGTGGTACCGTTTGTGACGGTGGTGTTTGAGTGTGTTGTTGTGATGCTTGGAGATTGTTTTATCATGTGGTGGTGGTTCCGGTGGAAATTGTGGTGTGTGATGCGATCGTGACTGCAGAGGGATCGTGTGAGGTTTTGTTGTGGTACGATTGTAACGAGGATCATAGCTACGGCGGATGTTGCGGTAGCAGTAGTTGCTTTAGTTGTTGCGGTGGTTCTTATGATGTAGTGGAGGTGGTTGGGCAGCAGTTGTGTGGGCGAGTTATCGTTGTGGTAGATCGGGCAATGGTTGTGTGGCTGCGCACACACACACACACACACCTCGGAGTAGAGGGGCGGAGGCTGCAGCATGAACTGCTGCATGTAGAGGTAGGCCGAGCGGGGCCCTGCAGAGGCCTCCTCGGCGTGGACGCACAGACTGCGGAACCTCTCCTCCGACACCACGTCCGTGTAGCACGGGGGAGCTGGGGGCGGGGAGGGCACAATAACAGAGTCAACGCCCACTCGTGTCCACCACCATCGCACTCTCGCGTTCCCCAAATACACGAGCTCACTCTCCTCCATAAGCACTCCGCTCACTCGCTCACACGCGCCCCTCTCACTCACGTCCACTAACATCCCTAGTGCAGCCTTTAACAGGCTGCCTGGGGCAAGTGCTATTAGCGAGCACCTATTAAAGCTGGAACGGCACACGAGGGGGGTGTGGTGTGCCACACACCGCACCGGGTACTCATTTAAGGCCGAGTCGACCTCACGGTGCTCCGGGGCCGATTCACATATTCACAACCGTTATTGGTCGTAAGTGAGATTATAACTCGGGCCGCTAGGTTTGTAGCGCAGTGCACTAATGACTGCACCACCACTCCCCAGTCGCACACTCGAGCTCACAAGCACTCGCTCGCACACACACACACGCGGATGCAGCGGTTTGTACCTTCAGGCGCCTCGGGCAGCTCGCTCCACGCTGGTCCCCCAGTGACGCTGCGCTGGCTCGACACGCTGGACGTGCGGGAGCCCAGTGCTTGCAGCGGTATCGTGCCCAGCACCAGTGGCAGCTCCAGCTGCAGGTTTGACGAGCCGGGGATGTCCACGTACACCTGAGGGTCGGTGGAGGAGGAGGCACAGGGGTGGTCAGCATCTCCATCCGGCAGCTCAGCCACAACAACCACCTGAAGTTCCTGCTCTGCCACCAGGCTACGAGACAACTGGAGACTCGACACCCATTGGGATTCAATGAATCGTCACGATTCAGGGTGGCACTTGAAAAAATATTTTGCAGTCGTTTTGTCTGCTAGCAAAACTAGTTAATCACTATATGTTTACATGCAATTTGTATAACTCTTAACCAATTGCTGCATGCATGACCACCAGCATTAGGATGGAATTCAACAGCCGTCGCTTGCCAATGGGCCAAACTCACCCCCGGGTGCTCACATTCACCCCAACCCAGGCTACCCCATATCGACCTCATCGAAACCAGCGCCAGCTGCCACCCCCACCCCTAAGTCTTCAATTGCTAAACCCCTCGACCCTCACACAGCCACCCACCCACTCGCCCAGCCCACCCCCGCGGCGCTCACCTGTAGGCAGTACTCGACACGGATGAGGGCGCAGGACAGCACGGAGGGCGGCAGGCGCGGGACCTTGAGCAAGCGGCCGTCCCACGAGTCGGTGCGGCCCGACGGCACGCTCTCGCCGCGCACCTCCGCCACGGCGCGCACGTGCGAGCGCGTGCGCCCACCCGCCAAGAACACCTGGCGCTGGCAGAGCGCCGCCTTGGGCACGACGAGGCGCGACGAGCAGTTCTCCACCTCGGCGTGGATGGCGATGGCCTCGCCCGGGCAGTAGCCGCGCCGGTCGATCTTCACGCTGAGCGCGATGAGGCTCGAGCCGAACATGGCGAAGCCGACGTTCTTCTCGCGAGCGCCAGCGGCCGACTCCTGCGATCGGACGGCGAGACGGGCAGACGCGTGCGGTGTGAGCGGGGCGGGGGGTGAGGGGGCGGTGTGCATGTGTAAGATGTGCGTGTGTTGCGCACAAAGGCTGCGGGCATCAGTGGGCATTTAATGTGGTTGTGATGCTGGTATTGGTGGCCGGCGAGTGCTGTTATCAAGTTTATTCGTTTAATCAGGTGAGAACTCAAAGACACCAGGATATGGCTCATATAAGTAAGTGACCTGGGTCAGAAAAAAAATTTCGGTGTGCTGCTGGTGTGCTGTTGGTGTGCTGCTGCGGCATTCACCTGCAGGGTGGGCGTGTTGATGTCCACGTGCACCACGACGCTGAAGCGATGGCGCGTGCGCTGCGTCCGGCCCCAGTCACGCTCCAGTGCGGCCTCCACCCAGTAGCGGACCCAGCCGTGACGCCCCTCAAACGACGTGGCCAGCGGTCTGCGGGACACAGGGACGGGTTGGCACGTCAGCACGCTGCAACGCGAGCACACACTATACTTGTGCCGTATTACACTGTGTATATTCTGTGTGCGTGCAGTACATTGTACATGCTGTGCGTTCTACATCGTGTATATGCCGCGTCCATATCCTGTGAGCGTACACAGTGTATGTACAATCCGCGTGTATGTCATACGTTTGTGTACACTGCGTGCGCTCTGCGTGTGTACACTGCATGTCAGAATCTTTATTTAGACTGCAGGAGGAATCCGATGAGCTATGAAGCTCTTTTTCACAGATGTCCAGCATGGGCGTGTCGGCAAGTTAACACGTTTAAGCGTGTCCGCTGCAGGCGTACGTGTGGACACACGCATACGTTGTTGCACACCGCGGTGTACGCAGTGCGTACGCTGTGTACACTGTGTGTACACACGCACATAGTGCGTACGCAGTGCGTACGCCGTGTGTGTACGCAGTGCGTACGCTGTGTGTGTACACACGAGTGGTGAGTCACGTGCTCGCTCACCCGTCCGGCAGCACGAAGCTGAACGGGAACTCGTGCAGCCCGGCGGGCAGCGTCACGTGATCCTCACTTCCGCCAGCTGGTTGGGAGGGGGCGAGATGGGAAAACATGTTGTGATGACGTCACGAGGAGGAGAGGGCCAATCAGGGCAGGCCCACGTGGGGTTGCACCGCCTAGGAGGGTCCCTTTTGCAAGGGGTGGGCTAATAGGGACCTCTAGAGAGGGTCCCTTTTAAATGGGGAAATAATTTATTGTTCGAGACGCTGACCCCCCCTCCCCCGCCTCTAAAAAGTCCATCCACACCGCACCCCAGGATAAACACCATCTGCTGCTTCTCGCAGCGAGCGGCGCAACAAGCACATTAATGAACAACTTTAAAAAAAAGTACTGTTATACACGTGGCTCGCATTCATGCACGCAAACCTCCCAAAGTAAAAGAACTCGCACAAAGCGTCCCACACCTCACGAGACCCGTTCACCCGGACCCCGCACTCTACAACCGCAGTGTCAACAAAGTTGCGGAGTGATTCACTGGCACAGCGGAGTACGCGCTGTACAGCATTCGCTCATCTCCCGTTTTGAACAGCCCCTCAGCCGGTTGTCAAAATTCCATATTACTATGGCGGGGGGTGGGCGGAAAGAGGCGATGCCACCCCACAGCACAACCCTCAAGATCTCTCAACAAGCAACTCAAAGTCGCAGCCCCCACGCCAGACACCCCCCGCTTTCCCCAGACACTCACTCGGCACGAGGAGCGGCTGCTGCACGTCCAGGTAGGTGGACTCCTCGCGGCAGGCGAGAGTCAGCGGCGTCGCGGCCCGTCCCAGCAGCTCCGGCTCGGCCCAGCCGACCCGGGCGAGGCCCCGCGCGCGGACTCGCAGCGAGCGGAGTCGCGACTCGCGTCGGAGTCTCAGCAGGACGCGGCCACGCACCTCCTGGCCGGCCACGAACACGCCGCGTCCGCTACCGCCGTCGGGCGCCTCCAGCTCCACGGCCAGGCACTTCACGTCGCCGAGACCCATGGTCAAGCCACAACAACAAGAACTCGGGCGATGGTGGTGGAGTCGGTCGCAGTTGCCCACCGAACCCTCTGACAACACCTGCTGCTGCTGCCGCCGCCGCTTGTAAATCCGAGCAGTCTCTCGCTGCTGTTGTTGCACGGCGACGCTGTCGCAAATCGCGACAGTTCCCACCGAAATCTCTACGGCGTTTAAGAATTCCCGCTTTTCTTTCCAAGAGGGCCGCAGGGGCCTGCAAAGTCCTCCTAGCTACCCACGCCCACCCACTAATTAACGGAGGCAAAATTAACGCGGTCGGCGAAAGCTCCGGCACACCACATCCCCCATTCATCCGCTCTCGAGCGTTCAAGTGCAGGCCGCGAGCCCCTCCCCGCCGCTATTTATGTGTAGACGCCCTCCGCCCCTCCCCCTTAGAGGGGGCGAGGCCCATCCCCCCGCCCACTCCACCCCCACCCCGCGGGTGCGGGGGATTTTCCCCCCCCACCCGCCCGCCCGCCCGTAGCACGCGCGGCGTCGTGCACAGCGCGTGCTCGGTGACTTCACCGAGGGCAGAGCGCGCTCGCGATTGGCCGGGCGCGAGCGGTAAACAGCTCGCGATTGGCCGAGCGTCCGCGTGATCGCCGCGTGCGCGCGTGGTGCTCGGCGCGCGCCGTGAGGGTGGGGGGGGGCGCGCGCGTTCCACCCCACCCCGTTCCAATATTCCCCCCACCCCCCGTGCGTGCTGTGAGCGTGGCCTCTTCGTGGTCTTCAAAGGCCTGGGCCCTACGTGGCCATGTGCTGGGGCTGAGCGATTTGGGGCGAAATATCTGTTGAGATTTTTCTGACAGATATCGCGATTACAATTTTTGTTAAGCCAAGCTGCAGTTCAATATTCACTGCGTTAATAGATTTAAAACGCGTGATGGAGAGTCACCACTTGATACCATCAAAATATTAACTTTTCTACATATTATAATGGCAGGATGAGAACTTAAAATATATGAATTGCTTCCAACATGTATTTATTAAAATGTTTTAATTGAAATAGAACAATCAAACATAGAGCAATTGTTACGTTAACTAAATAAAGTTTATAATAAACAAATAAAACAATTGCAATAAGTAAGTAATAGGACTTATAAGTGGCCAAAAAAATCGCAGCCTTTGCGATTTGCAAATCGCATTGTTTCAAATTGCGATTTCGATTTGACATCGATTAATCGTTCGACCCTACCCTGTTCCCGTGTGCGTAATTCCGGTACTTCACAAAACATTCCCTGAACGTCCCTTCCCGAACTTGGCCAGCCGACCCTCCCCAAACCCCCAAGTTCTCTCTCTCACCACCACTACCACCACACCTGAGCCGACGTGCTTCCCGGTCTTCACCAAGCAGCCCCCCCCCCGCCGCCTCTCTCTCTCTCCAGCCCCGCCGCCGCCTCCTGCTCCTGACCCCCCCCCCCCCCCACTGCGTCCCACGGGATAGGACGAACCCAAGAATGTGTGAACGTGCCTGGCCGCGTTGGTCTCCTCCAAACCCCTCTCTCCACGGCCCGCAAAGCCGCCGCCGCCGCGACCGCATCTCACAAACAACCCTCCCCCCAACTCCAACTCGCCGGCCGGGGTGGAGGGGCTCCACCTGTTGTTGCGGACAGCACACGCTATATTTGGTTAATATTCGCTTAATTTGGTGAATGGTGGCAGCTGTTGTTCGGCCGCGACCTTTCCCCGTTGCGCATTCTCTCTCCCCCCCACCCTCCCCGCATCACCTCCGCCCTCTTCCCTAGAAGCACACTTGGCCGCTGCCCACCCCTTGCTCTCCGCAGTGGCTGCTGGAGTTTGCGGTGTCCCTCGCTCTCATCATCATCATCACGGTGGCTAGGAGATGTTAACTACCTCGCCTGTTGTGCAGGAGGTCCTGGGTTCGATCCCGACCCTGACGCCTGCTTTGTATTTGGAGTTTTGCGTGTCTCTCGCTCTCATCATCATCACGGTGGCTAGGAGATGTTAACTACCTCGCCTGTTCTACAGGAGGTCTTGGGTTCGATCCCAAACCCTGACGCCTGCTTTGTATTTGGAGTTTGCGGTGTCTCTCGCTCTCATTATCATCATCATTACGGTGGCTAGGAGATGTTAACTACCTCGCTCGGTATGCAGGAGGTCCTGGGTTCGATCCCGACCCTGACGCCTGCTTTGTATTTGGAGTTTTGCGTGTCTCTCGCTCTCATCATCAGCATCACGGTGGCTAGGAGATGTTAACTACCTCGCCTGTTATGCAGGAGGCCCTGGGTTCGATCCCGACCCTGACGCCTGCTTCGTTTTTTTAGTTTTGCGTGTCTCTCTCATCATCATCACGGTGGCTAAGAGATGTTAACTACCTCGCCTGTTATGCAGGAGGTCCTGGGTTCGATCCCGACCCTGACGCCTGCTTTGTATTTGGAGTTTTGCGTGTCTCTCGCTCATCATCATCATCACGGTGGCTAGGAGATGTTAACTACCTCGCCTGTTATGCAGGAGGCCCTGGGTTCGATCCCGACCCTGACGCCTGCTTTGTATTTTGAGTTTTGCGTCTCTCTCGCTCTCATCATCATCATCATCACGGTGGCTAGGAGATGTTAACTACCTCGCTCGGTATACAGGAGGTCCTGGGTTCGATCCCGACCCTGACGCCTGCTTTGTATTTGGAGTTTTGCGTCTCTCTCCCCGAGGTCGCGTGGATTCTTCTGTGGGTCCTGCGGTTTTTCCCTCCACAATTTTATTATCAACGTCACGCGTTTTTTTACTCTTTGGCTGTTGCTATACATTTCCACCCGATGACGACGACGATAAGCCCCTTCGCTGAGCTGTCATTTGTGCGCAGGTCGCTTTCTGAAAAAAAAATAGCTACATAGCTGAGTGGGTCTTACCTTGTAAAGTTAAACAAAAAGTAGTTCACAGTTTTAGTTCCACAGTGAGACCTCCTCGGTCGTGACTGATCCGCCTGCGATTCACTCGCCGCTCACGTCAGGGATTACGGGAGCGTAAGGCACTACCACGAGAGGGACAATTGCGGTCAAAAGTGATTCCCTGCTGCAGTAATGACCATCGAGACATTTAATGGTGCACATCTCTTGCTTTTACAAACCCTGACCCTAGCCAGTGGTGGGAATTCCACATGTCTATGGCGGGGTCGGGGAGTGGGAGAGTGTTATAGCAATTCAAGCAACGGCTTCACAGGGATTCCTTTCGCGCAGCCGCGAATTTGATCGCGGCTGATGATGCCAGAGGAACACATCGTCATTTCGAAGCCAATTGCATAATCCCGATGAGTCAGGCAGAGCCGCATCGCCCTTGGTTGGCTCTCGATTGGATGCCGAGCCTTGGCGCAGAGCGGCCCGGCCGAGTTGAGTGCAAGCTGATCCCGAGGAATTATCTTGTCAGCAGCGGCGCCTCTCCAGACACGGGCAAGCAAGGTGGGCCTCTTTCACACGCCTGCCTTGCTCTGTCTACTGCTGGATGAAAGCCTCCCTCCACGCCGTGTCGATCATGGGTGGGGCGGGGGGGGGGAGGTTTGGACCATACTTCACCACGCTGGTCGCAGTTACGGTTTGGGTGGTGGCAGGCAATCTGAGTAAATATGGGCAGCTTCGCATGTGCCCATATAGAGTGCCCTTTGTCTACTCTTCCACGCTGCTTGCCGAACGTCTGTGGAAGGGTCAAGAGACGCAGGCGGTACCCATACTTCACCCCCACCATAGCGTGTCTCACCCAGTTCTGACGGATGTCAGAAGCTTGTGGGTTCCAACTTCGGCGCAGTGAAGTCCAAGAGCCGGTGAACAGTGAATAGCCATCGATGTGAGCCGTGGCCGGGAAATTCCCACAAGGCGCTGGGAATCCCCCTCCCAAAAAAAATAAAATGAAGTGAAAATAACTGCGCTTGTAACAGACTGTTGGGCAAGCGCTGTTAGCGAGAACCTATGAAGGCCGGAAATACACAAAAGGCAGGTGGATGGCCAGCACCACGCCCGGCCGCCTTTGTCTCCCTTGTGGCGATGTTTACACACCGCAGCAGGTACTCATTTTAGACTGAGTCGACTTAAGGGACGACCAGGATAGGTGCAGATAACCTTCACTGGTGTTGGCCGTGAACGGGAATGGAACTTTGTTCGCCGGGTTCGTAGCGCAGCGCCCTAACCGCTACGCTACCGCTCCCCACACACAGTCACACACAGCCACACAAAAACGAAGATCCCCCGTATAACCTGAACAGACTGTAGGGGCAAGCGCTGTTAGCGAGCACCTATGAAGGCCGGAACGGTACACGAGGGGGTGGGTGGCCAGTACCACGCCCGGCCGCCTTTGTCTCCCTCGTGGCGATGTTTACTACACACCGCGATATCTACTCATTTGAGGCTGAGTCGACCTAGGGGAGGCCCAGGTACAGATAATCATCACTGGTGATTACCGTGAGCTGGAATCGAACGCAGGTCACTCGGTTTCGTAGCGCAGCGCGCTAACCGCTACATTACCGCTCCCCACACACAGACACACACACAAACATACACACAGACACACACACAGACATACACACAGACAAACACACAGACACACACACAGCCACACACACAGACATACACACAGACACACAAACATCCATACAAACAGACACATACAGACACACGCAGACACACACAGACACACAGACACACACACAGACACACACACAGACACACACACAGCCACACACACACAGACATACACACAGACACACACACAGCCACACATACACACACACACACAGACACACATACAGCCATACACACAGACACAGACACCCGCAGATACAAACAAACACACAGACACCACACAGACACACGGAGACACACACAGACACACAGACATACACACAGACACACACAAAGACATACACAGACATACACACAGCCACATGCAGACACACGCACAGACATACACACAGACACACACACAGCCACACGCAATCACGGCCAGAAACAGGCACGCACAATCCCACATACACAGAAAACCACACACACGCGTACAAAAAAAACTTCCCACACACACACACGCGCGCAGTCATACAAAAACAAAGATACTCCCCTATAACCTTGGACTGTTGGAACAAATTTGCTGTTTGCGAGCACCTATCAAGGCCGACACGGCACACGAGCGGGTTGTGCGGCCAACGTTACGGTCGACCGCCTTTGTCTCCCCCTGGCCCGTGAGTGTTTACACCACACCGCGCCAGGTCCTCGTTTAAATCGATCAGTCAATCTGTCCCACGTGGGTGAACGGCGGGGGTGGTCTTCCCCGTGGCTCTGACCCCGAGGCCGCTTCTGCCATTCACTTTCACGACCCCTCCCGCGATGGAGGTGGTTGTTGGTGCTGGTGGGCGGGAT